GAGATTTGAACCGCCGAACTGCAGAACTGCAGTCAGCTGAAGTAGCCTGCAGTGCTGCATTTAACCACTGCGCCACCTCTATGCCTCCCATGACAGCTAACCTGACCCTGGGTCAATCGGTTGTTAAATTAGGCGGGACATGATAGCAGTATTCCAGTATTTGAGCGGTTGCCGTGTAGAGGAGAGGTTGACTTATTCTTCAAAGCAGCAGAGGACAGGACAAGAAGAAAATGGATGGAAGCTAATCAAGAACAGAAGCAACCTGGAATTAAGGAGAAACTTCTTAACAGTGAAGACAATTAACCAGTGGAACAGCTTGTCGTCAAAAATGGTGGTTGCTTCATCACTGGAGGTTTTTAAGAAGAGATTGGACAACACTTTGAAATGGCATAGAGTTTCCTGCTTGAGCAGGGGGTTGGACTAGAAGACTTCCAAGGTCCATTTCAGCCTTTATTCTGATGGATGGATGGATGGATGGATGGATGGATGGATGGATGGATGGATGGATGGATGGATGGATCGTCAAGGAGAGATCCAACCTAGAACTAAGGAGAAAATCCTTGACAGTGAGAACAAACAGTGGAATGGCTTGCCATTGTGGATGCTCCATCACTGGATGTTTTCAAGAAGAGATTGGACAGCCATTTGTCCAGAATGGTATAGGTTCTCCTACCTGATTAGGGTGTTGGACAAGAAAAGGTCCATGATACCTTCAATTCCATTGTTCTATGTTCTAAGTATGAGGCTAAACTGGCTACAACATGTCACTGGTGTCAACTTGCAAAGCATCCCTGGTCTACTCTCGAGTTGCCGTAGGGAAGGCGGATGGGAATACAAATTTTGCAGCTACAGCAAGGGAGCACTTCAGTCAAAACAAAAGCACATTCCAGCCATCCCTCTCCCAAGGCCATCACTGCGGTTACCCACAGTGGCCGGAGGAGAGTGATCTCTACAACCCACAAAATTGCTTCATTGGAGAATAAGACAGATGACGCACCTTGCGGGGGAGGGGGGAAACCTGGTTCAAAGCCAGGGCGTAAATTACATGGGGTCAGAGCTGGCTTCACTTGGGAACATGCCAACATGAAGCTCCTAATAAATAACTGGATTTCTTTTGAAGCTTGGCTTGAGGCTCATGATTTAATTAGAGCATCGGTCAGAACCATAGGTGGGTTGTTCCCAATTCGGCACGGTTTGGGTGAACTGGTAGTAGCAACAGCAGTAGGCTCTGCCCATCCGCCCGGATGCTTTCTACCACTAGTAAACCAGTTAGGAATCTACCACTGGTTGGAACCCTGACAACTGGGAGGTACCTGTTTTGGAATCATGGCTTGAGATGATGGCCTGATGGCAGAACATGGGTTGCTTTAATCAAAGACTAGTAAAAATGCCTTTGGGCATAGTAAGGCAGGCTTGGCTAGGAGAGTGCTGAACTAAATCATATGGAAGGACTGGAAGGAGTACAGATTTAAAAAAAAGCTTATGTTTCGAACTGCAGAAAGTGGAAGCTTTGTTGAAAGGAGACTTTTCAACGAAAAATTAAAATCCAATACTGGTTATAAAGTTCAAAGCTCTCTTGGGCACGCTAAAGATTAGAATATGGAAACCACTACCGAATTACTGATAAGTGGAGATGAAATGGAGACCAGGTGTGAAGACTCCCAAGGCTGCAATACGAGAATTAAATGAAACAATTTGTTCAAACAAGAACAGAAACCATAAGCAAAAGTGAGGAGTTGCACAATATGTTTAAAATGTCCACGCCGTGGAGAAAGACAATTTGACAAAGGAAATACAAGGAAAGGAAGAGTCAGAATATTCAGTTTGGAAAAAAAATATTTAGTTTGGGGGAAAAAATGGTACAAATGGCCAGATGATAGAAACAAGAAATAAGAAATTGGGAAATGTAAAATTAAGGTATAAGTGGAACAATTAGGATAGAGAGATAAGATAGAGGGTAGAAGATAAGTTAAGATATATTAACGTAAGAAAAGTATATACAATACAATATAGGTAATATAATAGTCTGATAATTGAGGAATTGCGTGGCACGACAAAACCGCGCTCGACTAAAGCGCGCCCGATTAAACCGCGTCGCTGACGTCATCAACAGGGCGGCAACAGCGNGCATGCCCAACACATGTGATAGAACGTTCCAGATTTATGTCTGCATCTCCAACATTCGGGAGATAGGTTTAGGAACATCTTGGCCAATCTTGCTGGTGGTAAGTGCCATCGGTAAAACATTTTACATGAGTTCTCCTTATAAGCTACCGCCATCGTAAACCTATAGTTTCTTTCCCACAATTTGTCCCATTGGTCTAGCTCAATGCTATGGTTAAAATTTCTGGCCCAGGTCACCATTATCTCTTTTACTGTCTCTTCCTCCATTTTATATCTTAAAAGAAGCCCAGATGGTCAGGCTCATATCATCCACCTTTGGACACCTTGGGTGAAGACCCAACTCTGTGGAGAAGGCTCCAAAGTGGGGAAGGATGGAAGGAAAGAGGAGGATGACCAGCAGCCGGTGCATGGATTTGGTTATTGTGGTGATGGAGGCATTCTTGGAGATGCTGATTGTCACAGAGAAGGTCCATCTAAAAATTATGCAAAGCTTGGGGACACTTCCTAAGGAACAGCATAGGACAGCCTTCCAGAAGTCACAATGATTTTGCTCGCCCCTTGCAAATCGTGACAATAAAAGCAACTTGCCCAGAGGGAGTTATGTGAATATTTAATATTATTTGGCGCAGAAGCACAATTCATTACAATCAGAAACCAACAAAAAAAAACAAGCAAGGGGTTTTAGTGGCAGGCAATTAGATACTTGATACTAACAGCAGACTGCGAGCCTGGAAATCGTTTCTGGACATTTTGCAAAACTGCACGTCTCCGTTTCCAAGACGTGCCAAATTCACATCAAGGCTTGAACCCCGGAGAAGACAAAGGAGCAGAGAAATCTTCTCCTTGGGGCTATTTTGAACTGTGTTCTGTTGGAGCAGCAGCTCCTTATTGACCTTTCGTGTCTTATGGATCATTGGAGAAAGACAAGCAGGCTGAAGGATTAAAGCCAATCCATTATGGGCAAATCGTATCTTGATTTTATAACAATTCCTGGAGCCTCCAATTGAAACTGTTGGGAGGTGGGCATTTCTGGGTATCTGGGATCCCACCTCCAAGGCGAATGGCGACATCAATGGCAATGGGCAAGCAAGGGTGAAGGCAGCCTTGATGCGTTGGCGAGAACTTACTGTGTTATGAGCCAACCTATCTTAAATCTAAGATTTAAGAGAGAACCATCCGTCTGTTGCACTGTATGGCCCTGAATGCTGTAATTGGCTCGAGTAATTGAGTAAAAAGTGGCTAAACTTTCAGTCTTGCACAATTGAGTATTGGCCTCCCGAGATGGATCAGACAAGGAGTTACTGATCCCTGATCACACAGCTACCTTAACAGAATTGGACAGGTCCAAAAGTACAGATCTCCCACCTTTGCCTTTACAAGGTGAGAACTGCTCTCTGTGTTTGTGTTTGTGCCTGTGTGTCTCCCCTTTCTGAGCCTCTTTCTCCAGCCATAGGGCAGCCAATGGCAACGCATCTCCCAAATCTTGCCAGGGAACCGCAAGGACTGGTCCAGGCAGGATCCAGCAATCAAGCCTCATGGACTTCTTCCCCCAAAACAAAACTGCTGGGAGTGGGGGGGAAGAGAAAGGGGCACCCAGGGTCCTGGGTGAAGCCTGGAGGTCTTTAGCCAAAGGACAAAGAGGTCTACCAGTATATCACAGAAGTGAGTGCACCCTCTCACATTTTGTAACCATTTAAGTATACCATTTCATAGGACAACACTGAAGAAATGACACTTGGCTACAATGTAAAGTAGTGAGTAGACAGCTTGTATAACTCTGTCAATGTGCTGTCCCCTCAAAATAATGCAACACACAGCTATTAATGTCTAAACCTGTATGATGGTGAACCTATGGTACGAATGCCAGATTGGCAGGCTGAGCTCTGTTTGTGGGCACATGCACTTCTGCCAGCTGTTCTTCTGGTTTCCAGCATGCTGGTCTCCATGGGTGCCGGAGCACTGGAAAACAGCCTGAAAAACGGCCAAAAACCAAGCCGTTTTCAGACTGATTTTTGCGCCGGAATAATGCTCCAAAAATGTCTTGAAAAATGGTGTGAAAGCGGCATGTGTGCGCCAGTCAGCTGGCCTTCAGGTTTCTGGTGCTCCAGCGCATGTGAAGATCAGCTGACCTGTGCACATGCTTGTGCCAGAATCCCGACGATCAGCAGGCATTTCCGGCACACACATGCACGGGCATTCTGGGGGTCTCCTCACTTCTGTGATATACTGATGCCAGCCTACCAGTTCTCCCCCTGCCCCCCCCCCATGGCACCTTGAATAATAGATTGGGGGAAGGGGTTGCAGGCCACTTTCTGGGAGTGGGGAGTGGGAGTCAAAGGGTCCCTTCGCTCTCCTTCCAGCTGCCTTTCTTCCCAAGGGCTAGGGGCCTTTGGGGAGAGGGCGGACTTGGGGAGGGCTGCCCTGATGGAGGAGGGAGAGTGAGCTGGTCGCCCCCTCTTCCCTTAACAGGGACCACCACCCCCCGCGGCAGCCCCCGCCGCTGCCAATGAGTGAGGCCGAAGCGGGGGGAGGCGCGGCTATTGTCAGGCTGGGCGGAGGAGAGGAGGGGCGAGAAGCTGTGGGGGGACCGATCCTCCGCTAGATCGGAACCGCCCGCCGGCCGCGCAGGACCGGGGATCGCGGATCGCGGATCGCCGCCCGGATCCGGTAAGCGGGGCTGGGGGAGGGGAGACGGTGCTAGAAGTCCTCCGGGACCCCAAGCACCTCCTGAGCCCGCCCGCCGCCTGCCCGACCCGCGGCATCCCCAAGGTTGCGCTGCGCTCACCGAGCCTGGCCAGGATGCCCCAACAGCCCCCTGGCCACTTCCAGCGCCTGCTACCCGGAGACCCCCGGTTTTTGCCCTCCGAGGGGCAGAGGGTTTGGTGGTTAGCGCCCCGGGGGTCTTTCTCCCGCCCGCTTTCCTCCCCAGGAGCCCAGAGAAGCGCTAAGTCTGGGTCCAGATCGGGGATGAGAATTTGGGGGAGGGGATGTGAGTCGTTTAAGCGCGACCCTCCCACCCACCGATCCCAACAGCCCCCTGGCCACTTCCAGGGCTACCCCCCTTCCATCTTTCCCCTCGGGTTTGCGAACTCCGCCTTCGAGGGACGCGTTCAGACGTTCGGTTTGCGGGCTCAAAAAAAAAAAAGCATCTGGGCTTGTTGAAAAGAGTTGAGCAACCAGGAAGGGCGATGTGGAGGGGAGGCGGAGGGGTCTCCTTCCCTTGGCTGGTGGGCCTGAATCTCTCTTCTCCCCGGAGGGGCGAGATCTTGGCTTGCCTTGGAAACCAGGATTGGACCTTCCCTCATTCTGCTCTTGGTCAAGATTGCTGATCTTAGGAGCCGGAAGAAGGGGGGGGGGTTGGGGGAAGGAAGGTGAAAAGAGGAAGCTGGGCTGGCAGGCATCTGCAGGGGTTGCCGCCTTTCGCCCTGTCTGTCTGCCTGAGTGGGTAAGATGTGGTGGTGTCACTTCCTCTTGGAGTCACACCACGTTCAGGCTGTTGGTGCAAGGACCATCTGGAGCAAACTCAGCAGGACCCTTGCAGGTGAAATGCGTAAAGACCCTCCTTCCTCCCTCCCTCCCTCCCTTCCTTCCTAAAATTGCACTAGACTTCCTTAGACTGTTAGCCAAGTGAATGGTTGTTGTGATTGTGGGTTGTTAAATGACCGGAGTTGTAGTTGTAAACAACCGCAGGTTAGGCAACACACTTGATAATAACTATCCTCTCTTTATTTTCCTCCTCATTGGTTCTATTTCCACTTGATTTTTGATCCAGAAGTATACGTTTTCTTGTGATGCTAGGAAGGCAGTTCTTGACTTACAACGGTTTGTTTAGTGACTGTTCAAAGGTACAATGGCGCCAAACAATGGGACTTACGGCCGTTTTTCAAAATTATGATCTTTGAAGCATCCCTGCCATCAAAATTCAGATGCTTAGCAACTGGTTCAAACTTACGATGGTCGCTGGGTCTTGGGGGCCATGCGATCCCCTTTTGCAACCAAGCAAAGTCAATGGGGAAGCCAGATTCACTTAACAACTGGATTACTAACCCATCAGCTGCAGTGGTTCACTTAACAACAGTGGCAAGAAAGGTAATGAAATGGGGCAAAACTCCCTTGACAAATGTTTCCCTTAATAACAGAAATGCTGGCCTCAATTGTGGTCGTAAGTTGAGGACTACCTGTGCTGGCTGTTGTTTTTTTCTTAAGGCTTCGTCTTGTGGTTTTGCTTTAAAGTAGTTGGTTATAAAAATCGGAAATGTTTATTTTGCTGGAGTTTTACCTCTATAACTTTTCCATTTTGTGGGCAGCTGAACTCCAACCTTGCATTTCTCCAAGTTATGTTCTAGAATTTCACCATTCTTGATATGATTAACTTGCTCCGTGTCTGAATAATGAGAGTATCAATGAGAAGATCAGATCTTCGGCATTGAATATGGGGAATTTCCAACTAAGATGCAGCACACCTGCAAGATTCCAGATTGGGGACGATTTTTTATAGTTCCTTAACCGATTTGCACATTTATTTCCAAACTCCAAAGGTCTCTGGAATTGGGAGAATGTCTGCTGATTCAGGCAGCTGCTTTTCTAACACGTATTTCCTTAAAAGTGTGATGTTTCAACAACATCTAACTCACAGGCCGTTCTAATAATCAGGAAGCTTTGAACCGCTGCCTAAGGAAATGCCTCCTCTGCCTACATCTGTTGCAGCAAAGGATGCCAACAGTTTGCATGTCCCCGTTGTTAGGTCTAAGGGGGAGAGGAATTGAGTAGAACTGGGGTCTCCAACCTTAAGACTTGTGGACTTCAACTCCCAGAAACGCCCCCCCCCCCCACCAGCCACGTGGATGGGATGGGGCCTTGAGCAGTAGTAGTAAGTAGTAAAATCTTTATTACGGTCAAAGACCAGCAATACACATTAGTTTTTACACTATATTAAAAAATAC